TTGCGAGCTTCCCTGCAGCCCCGTGCTTCCCTGAAACCTCGTGCTGACCGAACCTGACAACGAAAAGGATGACCAGGTACATGCCTTGTATGTAGAAGATCCCCATTTCAGTCCAAAGCAGGGCTGTCTGGAGCCCTTGGAAGGGTTAGATTAGCTTTTCTTAGGGCCCGGGGGGTGTTGTGACTGCAGCTCTCAGAAACTCACTGCTGACTCTAAGTTCTGGGAGTTGCAGTGTATCTAGAGGAGGGTCCCCAGAACGGAAAAGCCTGGGATACATCCGTGGTTCTCTGTCAGCATTACTTGCGCTGTAGGTGGGACTCAGAAGTCACCTTAGGTGGGACACAAATCATTTGAACTTAAAACTGGGCGTAATGGGTGGTTCTGAAATTGATAAGGATTCGGGAGACGGTGTTATAAATAGCCACCTGTAAGCTCCTTCGTTAAGAGCGAAAAAAGCTATCATTTCACAGAAAAGTGGTAAAAGAAAAAATCCAGTTTTTGGAATTCTTGTGACCTCATAGCTTTCTTTTTAATAAATTCTTGCTAAAAAGACTGTGCGAATTGTGGTTGGAAAAGGAATTACTTTTGGTTGGAGCCTGACACATAATGTAAATGGTAGATATACAAATTGAATGCCTGTGAAAATATATACGGTCTTTTTCTTTCTGTGGTGGGTCTTTGATAGAGTGATTGGTGGGACTTAAGCGGGAGAAATTGAAACCTACTAGGGTTGAGTTAGACAGCCCAGGGTCTGATTCAGCATGTGAGTTCTGTAGATTTTGGCACCTGTGTTTGGACCATGTCAGTTGACACCCTTCCAACTACCGAGGCATCACTTCTTGCTTTCACAACCCCCCCCCCCAAAAAGATTCTCCTCTTTGTAGAAGACCCCAATGCAGATATTTCTGTGTATCTTTACAGTGGCATCTTCTCCTAGAAAAATCTGCAGGCGTTAAGTCTATAAGTGCATGCCAGAGAGACAGGATAATTTAATGATTTTGATGATGAATAAATAAATAAAAATAATTAGACTCTGAGTCATTAAGAGTCCTTGTCCTCCTCTTAAGTAAGATTTTTCTCAGCAATTTCGTAGTCCTTCGGCAAAACAAGCACCGTGTGCGTGTAAGGCAACTTCCTTGTTTCTTTCATCATCGACTTTTACGGAAACCTTGCTCTGTTCATTAACCTAAAGCAACCCTAAACAAGCAGCAGAATTGGCTTAGGAAGGAATTATAGCTTCCATAATTCAGTTTGATTTATAAGGGATGTTGAGTAACGGAGGAATTGCATCCTGCTGTAGGAGCGTGCTCGCTGTCTTTCTGTAGAAGCGTGCTGCGTGGCTGTTCCTGGCTTCAGCGCGAGGTTATTCTGGTAGGGAGGGCCAGAGAGGAGCAGTGGCCACTGCGGTTCATAAACATGCCATATTTGTATTCATTGCTTCCCTTCCTCAAGCGATCATTCCCAGCATTCAGTACATGGGAAATTAAAAGGGCCAACAGGAAGCAAGCACAGTTTTCTTACGTGTTAATTGCCCTCTTCTTGGATAGCCATAAGCCAGTTCAATTAAAACGTGATAGAAATATCAACTTTTGGGGGGGGGGGTTGCTACTGAACCTTTTGTTTCCAATTCCTTGCAGCATGCTGTAAGTTGGCTTTGAAAGTGGTGTACAGTTTGCTTGTTTATTTATTTATTCAGTTTCTACAGCTGCCCATCTCACTTTTATGTGACTCTAGGCAGCACTTTTTTAAAAAATTGCCTTTCTGTTTTAGGTCAGCCAGTTCAGACAGCTTTATTCCAAAGTCATCAATGACAAGCACGATGATGTGATGGCTAAGTTCGGAGCAATCCTGGCTCAGGGCATACTGGATGCAGGTAAGTTTTGTTTCAGTGCCAAAACCGTTGTTGCTGGTCGCTGCCTTTAAACCAAGAAATCTCCTTTCTCAACCGCCAGCCCTGTTGGGACCTTGAATTGCAGAGGTGCCAGAGAATTTGGGAGGTTATAGCCCTGAGACACAGAAATTTCAAGTTGGGAAGGACTGTTTGGCTTCATTTGTTTCATCAGGTGCATCTGGTAAATCTGCCTGGGCAAAGCCCGATGCACGATTTCTTTATCCAAACTCTTAACTTCCCTCACAGAATTTGGGCAGGAAACACGCAACGCTCAAAACACTGCCATGTTATTAACTGTATTAATTAATGAATTATTTAGAGCCAGTTTGATGTAGCGGTTAAGGGGCTGGCCTAGAAACCAGGAGTCTTGAGTTGTAGTCCTCCCTTAGGCATGAAAGTCAGCCCCTCTCTCAGCCCAACCCACCTCACAGGGTGGTGGTTGTAGGGAAAATAGGCAGGAGTATTGGATAAGTTCGCCACCTTGAGTTGACCAAAATGTATTTAAAAAGGTAGGATAAAAAGATGATGATGATGACGACGTTCTGCCTTTCCTCCAAGGACTCCCCTTCATTTTATCCATATCACAACAAACCTGTGCAATAGGCTGGGCTGAGAGAGACGCGGTCCCTCAGGAAGCTTCTGGGGCTGAGGGAGGACCAAAACGTGGGTTTCTGGGACCTTCACCACTATTGCCCCCTGGCTCCTGGGCCAAGAGGGAGGGAGAGTGCTCCAAGGGCACCCACTGAGGGTGGGAGGGTTGGAACCTGGATCAGAATCAGGTCTCCTTGCTCCTGGCCCACTGTCTGCATCACTTCCCCACCCCAGCTGTTGGTCGTGCATGTTTGATGCCTTTACATTTTTGTTCGTTATCATAAAGTAATGTGTGGAATGGATATCTGCTGTTGTCTTCATTATCATCCATTTGTCCCCTAGCAGATGAGTCCAGCTGCCAAAAAACAGTTGCCATTGCAAATAGCTGCTCTACTTTCTTCTTGCCAGAAGTATTGTGGGATGTGTAACAAGCAGGCGCCTGTTCAGGAGATGGGGGGAGCTTGATAGTTCATTAATTATACAAATTATGCTACAGGGCCCCCAGGAATCATTGCGCGAAACTAAACTAATCCATATTCAGGGTATTGGAGAGTGCGTCTGTTCGTCTGCAAGAAAAAATATCTGTGCTGCTGAAGCGAGGTGTGAATTGGCGGGTGTGGCGCCACGTGTCTCGCTTGCCCCTCTCAGCGTTGCGTGTCAAAGTGGGTGCCTCCTTGAAGGGGGAGAGCAGAAGTTTTAAGAGGCACAGTTGATGCCACAGTTAAGGGATTCCTTTCATCCCCCTGACCTCCCACACATCCCAAAAACTGGAAGGCAGAATCTCCAAACTTTTGATCTGAGGCCATCTTTTTTGCCGACCTGCTCTACACTAAATTCCTGTTTTTGGTTTACTGCTGCAATCGCAACTTTTTTTAAAAAAAAAACTAAAACAAATCCACTGGATGATGAGGTTCCACTTAGTACCAGAGCAAAAGGAAGAAACCTTATAATGTGTTGAGTGAGTAAGGTTCCCCTTTATCTGGTCTATGACAGTTGTAAAGATTGATTTGAATTGAAATGTTGTTCTTATACACATGAACGTCCGTAGGGGTAGGAAGTGACATCATGCATGCTGTGACATCATGACGTACATTACATAATTTGCGCCATTTGTACGATGATGCCGTGATGCAATTGAGATCATCGTGGCTTCTCTTGGACAGTTGTGCTCACATATTTGAAGTTCTGCTTCCAGCCTGGTCAAAGCAATTCTTAGACTTCTAACATACCTGTACAACACCTGGTTGGAGAAAATGGATGCATCTTCAAGAGGGGTTCATAAATATCAATCAAATCCAACCCAAGATCTTGTGGTTGCATTGGATTATAATCCCCATCATCCCCAGCCAGTATGGCCATTGGTTGTGCTTACTGTGGAGTGATAGGAGTTGTAATCCAACTCATTGAGAGGGCTGAGTTTAGGGAAGGCTGATGCAGCCAGTAACACAAAGGGCAAAAATAACCATGTTGCCAGAAAGAACAATTCAGAATCCATGTGAGAGCAATACCTTTATTCGATCAGCTCAGGTCTGCAAAAGGCTAAGCAAGCTTTTAGGTTCTCCAGAGAGCAGAGCGTGTGAGAGATACCTGCATTTAATTTGTGACTCTGCATGGAATGTGTTGGCAGATGGCAGTCTTCCAGATAGGCTCTTTCAGTTGCTGAGTTGACTCCAGCAAACACAGTTGTGCATTGTGGTTTGCAGAAGAAAGTAATATGCAGTGGTCACTCCCCACTTTTGGAAAATATTGAGGATGATACTATTGTTATTGCTGCTGCTAGAGATTGTAGGGCTGAGACCAGATTGTCTAAGGCCATCTTGGGAATTCATGATTGCTTCCAACATCCCATTTATTTATTTGTCTAATTTATATAGCTGCCCATCTCACAAAGCCAGTGACTCTTGGCGGTGTACAACAGAGCTAAAACTATTAATAAATGCCTAAAACTATTATCATTATTAATTATTAAAAACATTAAAAACTATAAAAACTATAAAAACAAAGCTAATACAAAAAATAATAGACGAGGGGTGTTAATAACAGAGCCATCTCACTAGTTCACCCGCCCCCTGAGGTCCCCAGGCCTGTTGACACAAGCAGGTCTTGAGGGACCTTCGGAAGCTCAGAAGTTATGAAGCCAACCTCACCTCGGGGGAGAACAATGTGGGCACCACAGCAGAAAAGCCCATAACATACCCTCTCTGCTGGATCTGGTGGGATGGGCAGATGAAATCGGTGAGGGGCGGTCCCTCAAATAGCCCAGTCCCATGCCATGAAGGGCTTTATAGGTCAACACCAGCACCTTGAATTGGACCCAGAAACAAAAAACAGTGCAGCTTGCAAAGCAGACATGTAATGTGTGTTCTACCAGAAACATACATAAATGCTCATGCCGCTTCGTTTTGCACCAGCTGAAGTTTCCAGATACTCTTCAAAGCAGCCCCACGTAGAACGCATTGCAGTAGCCCAACCAGGAAGTGACCAGGGCATGAGTGACCGTGAGTAGGGCCTCTTGATCTAGGAATGGGCACAACTGGTACGCAATATGAAGATGTTCAAAGGCCTCCTACCCTCAACTGCCACCTGCTCATCAAGCAGGAGTCCTGAGTCCAGGAGGACCCCCAGATTGCGCACAGGGTCTGTTTGGGGGAATACAAGCCCATCCAGCACCAAAGAGTCCTAGAACCGGAAGGTCTCAAAACCCAAAGCCACTCAGCCTTGCCAGGATTCAGTTGAAGCCTGTTTGCCCGATCCAGACCCTCACAGCCTCCAGACACTGAGATAAGTCCACAGCGTTGCTTAATTCTCCAGGGGCAGAGATGTTCAGCGGTGACAGATGAGCTCACCCAGCAGTCTCATGTAGATGTTGAACAGGAGAGGAAAGAGCACCAGCACAGAGGACGCACTGCCACCATCCCACCCACACCAGAGATCCAAAAGCACAACCAATGCCATTTCCGTTCCATAGATAATCCACTTCATCCAAGGTCCTCTGAAGCTGTGTGCAGCCACCTTCTCAATCACCAGAAAAGGGAGGTTAGATATTAGATGAAAATTGTCCAGTATCGTGGGGTTCAATGATGGCTTCTTGAGGCAAACCAAGACCTCCTTAAGAGGTAAAGGAACAACCCCTGCATTCAAGAGCAGCAACCAGAAACCAGGGCCTCTGAAAGTCTGCTGTCCGGGTACAGGGACTGAGACCAAGGAGCTGGAAAGTGAAACCGGTATGAAACTTCCATCCCACATTCCCTGAGAGCGGCCCACTCCTCGTCTCCCACCATATCTCCCCATGCCCATCACCAACTGTGGCCCACCCATTCCCCCCCAAAGGCAGCATCATTGTCCCCTCCAGGCTCCCCAATTCGCAAGGCTTGGGACCTCCCACAGTGGTCAATTGCATCCGTCCTAGGGAGGGGAACCCAGGCACCCCAAGGCACTTCAGCTCCACCAGTTCTCAGCACCATCAGGGTACCCAGCACCCCACCTCCCCCACTCGTCCCACAAACACACACGCAAACATACACAGACACCTTCGCATCAACCCCCACAGGGAATCCCTCCCAGCCGTTCTCCGGGTTAGAGTTCCCTTCCCATTCCCCCAACCCAATCAGCCCCCTCCTCAGGCTCTTATCCCAAGGGGGGGTATCATACAAACAAACAGAACCATTTAAACAGATCTGTGGGGGGAGGAACACGTTGGTGGGAGAGCTTAAGGAGATTAGCTCTTAAGAGACCTTTGTTTTAGAGTTGCATTCAGCTCCTGTGCTTCCACCCCACTTTGAATGTCTTTGTCCTTATTGAGAGCAGTGCCTTTCATTGGCATGAGTCATCAGAAGCAATTGCATTGCATCAGAAGTAGGGATGATGTTTCTATTCTCTGTAGAGTTTAAGAGTGATTTTCAGGTCTTTAAATGATAGAGTATATTCAGTTATCTCTAACAACCTATAGGAATATTGGAAAATTAGAATTTTAACACATATGTAAATTCCTTGTTTATTCACCATTCTATTCCTTCACTTTTCCTTCTGTTTATGTATATTTTCCCCCAAAATGTTCAATAGAATATTATTTTATTGTATATTGTATTAATAATGTTATATCTTAATTATAAAGAAGAACGGGGAGGGAAACATTGCTTGTTTCAGATTTTATTGCACGTGTGAATCACTGACACATTTGAAACTGAACCTGCCTTTGGTCAGAGGTTCTCTGAATGAAATGGATTGACCTTCCTAAAACAATGTTCTTGTACCAGTAGAAGCGAATCTGTGTAGCTCA